GTGAGAAGTTTGGGGAAGATGATGTACTTATGTTGTACACACTTCACATTTCTCTAAGGAAAATAGAGGGGATTTCGAACAGCGTGATGTTTAGGAAAAAGCCAGACTTCCCTTTTCCTTTGGTAGGTTGATGTAACAGTTGTCGTTGTACTGTTCAGTCAACGTAGTTCGCACTGCGTTAAGCCTGACAGTGTCGAATGTTTTCTCATGGTGGACATAGGCTGTGCAAGAAAGAGTTTGAATTACCTCCCGTGCTCGAGGAGTTGACTTAAGGCAAAACTGTTATCCATTGTTCTGTAACTCCTGCAGAGGAGTGCTACTCTCACAAGTATGCAAGATATTCACTCAGATATTCGCCAACAGACTTTCAACAGGTCTGGATGAACCACAATCAGGGGAAGTGGCAGATTGAATGGTAGTTGTTAAGATTTTCCTTCTCGTTCTTGACCAGCACCAGTTGCCTTTGATTCATTCCTTCCAGCTTGATGGCATCTTTTTTAAGGTTAGCAGTTGAACGTGACCCCTGGAGCCCTCCACAGCTTCTGACTACCTGCTCTGATCATTTCAGTTGTCAGACCGTCTCTTCCTGGAGCTCCTCGTTTTTTCGTTTGCTTCTACATTACCAACTTTTCTTTTGAGAACCTGCCGTGCATTTCATTCTGACTGTTTAAGTGATGGCATGGATCGGACATGTGTTTGATGTAAACAGCTGGATATAAAATTTCGGACAAATAGGCTGTATCTCGGCTCTGTCAGACGTTCCCCTTCTTCAGCTCTGTAATGGTCGACTAATAGAGCTCTGACTGTCTCCTTCACTGTCTCAGAATTTTGCGGTTTTCGGTAGTTTTGTCTAATTTTCGCCATTGGAAGGCCTCGAAATTTCCGTCTAACGAGTTTGCAGTGAAGAGTCCTCTACCGTGTCGGTTCCATCTCTCTTCATCCTCATCTGTTCCTTTAGCAAACTTCTCTATTTTGAGATACTTCCTTTTGTTCTTTTTGAGGTTACCAGCTCTGCTGACTACTCAGTTTTTGTTCCCTTGGTGAACTTCTCGTTGTCGTCATCCTCTCTGCCTTTCATGCTCTAGTCTTCACTTGAAATGCGCATTTGGGGCACCGTCTTGTCGAATACTTTCGGTCGTTGTGCGCGATTTTTCATCTGCAGTGCCTTCCTTTCGATGTTCACATCGAAGGTTGGCCTAGTCCTTACGTGGGTGGTCACTGTCAGTTTTAAATAATGGCACGAATGCCGTATCTCGAATAATGTGAAGTTTGTCAAACAGGACGAAGTCGATCTCGTTCCTCGTTGCCGCTTTAAGTGTGATCACTATTCGCTTACTCTTGGTATTTTTCAACAGTGTGTTAGATCCAATCTACAGATGTTCCGTTTCTGTCATGGTCACCAGCCGACTCCTCGCTCATTTTGCTCTCCGGTGCTGTCTAACGACAATTTTTTTATCCACCCTTCCTCGACCTGCTATGTCATTCATGTATCCCGTGACGAACTGTACTTGGACTTTCTGGTCAATACCACACTTCCAGTTCTTGATAGAATTCTTCCAGTTTTACTTCGTCAGCTGCACTTGTGAGAGCATAAATTTAGATGATGTTCAAAGCTGGAAGTTCTTCGATTTCAGTTGGAGGCCAGCATGCCCACTCTTGGTGACTTCACATGGCACGAGATGATTTTGGGGACTGGATTTTGTTGTCCAGAAATCCGATTCCTCCTGTGTTCTTCCTGCCATCTCCTCCGTCGTGTCTCGCAGAGGCCAAGGGTATTACAGATCATCCATATCCTTTTCTTTATTAGTTGGTTTAACGTTTCTTCCCTTTCCATTGTTCTGTAGTTACAGGTGCAAACGGCGAGGCAAGTCCGGGGTGTTTGCCAGATGGTGTTTTCTCACATGGGATTCTTAACAGCCTCTCTTCAGTTGAACCTGAACTGCCGCCGTGAAAAGGATAAAGAGGCCAATCTAAGTGTTGTTTTCCAAGGGTATAAAGTTCTGCCATCCCGTGGCAAGAAAGGTTGCCTGGGGAATTCTGCACACACGTGTTCACTGATTCCTTCTGGTTTTTTATAGAAGTTGTCGCTTCTACCCTTTGATTAGCCTACGACTTAAAGAGCAAGGCAGCGGTGTCATTGGCAGCCTTTGCTCTACATAATGGGTAGTTTTCGCCTCAGCATGGGACTGTCGTTGGTCACTGTGACTTTTTCTTTGAAGATCGAACTTGTCAAGCTCGAACCTATCTATTCTCTTGTTGTCTCACTGCTGCCTTTCTACGACTGCTTATTTTTTCTCCATCTGGAGGTCGTTGTCCTCTATGCAACCCGGGGACCTGCCAGGTGACTAGCAAGTTGGCATAATGGCAGCGGAATTTTTGATTTCGCGTTAAAAGTTAAAGTCGGAAGAAACTTGTTGCTGTGGGAAACAGGCGAAAGAAATCTCTGACTGAAGATAGTCCAAAAATTGACTTTATTAACGATGCTTTAAGTGGAATTGAATTGCAACTGGATCATCTGTTCATCGTTTGCCACAACGGTTGGACTAACACGGCATGATTTATATCCATGAAGGTTTGGTTAACTTCAGAGACAATTTATGTGGTCTCGTATTATTTAATTTGTCATGGTAAAACCTTTTGCTATTCGGTAAATTGACCGCCTTGGAAGTTGTACTTCTTGCCGATTTAGGTGCCCTTAGAATATTTCCATGAGTTGCAAGTCTTATGATATCATCTTCGAACTGCAGACACCCGAAGATCTTGAAGAAATTTTTACCTGAAGACATACATTTCAATCATCTGCACTATCCATCTTCTCTTCACTGCTACGTCGATAGATTCGTAGTAATTCTGTTTGGTAACATCCCGTTTCTAATTATACAGTGAGCTTGCTTTCTGTTTATTCAGCTGTCCAGCTTTGATTCCGACAACCTTTCACATAAGAGAGTTGACTAATCTAAGCTTAGTGAGATCTTTCAGATTTTAAAATCTTTCGTGGCATGTTTTGAATGGTAACGGTACTTTCTTACAGAAAAATGGTAGGTAGCAGGCATATCGACTTCACAATAAAATTTTAGAATTATGCATACCATCATTCTCGACGATCCGTTTGAGGACCCCGTTGGACTGAGAATCCCGTCACGCTCACCCTCGCCTACCGAACGACTGCTCAAGGTATATTAGACCGGTTTTTTTCGACTACTCGTATTACCATGTGACTAATCTTAATTATATATTAATTTGTGATGTGTACTGAAGAATATTTTACTAAAGTTGTAGGAATTCCTTACTTAGTAACGAACATCCTGCCCTTCCGACGGGATAGATTAAATTTATGATATATGATTTGATAACATGCAGGATACGTACGTTTGATTTCACTTATTTTTCAACCCAAATTGGTC